GTGTGTGTGTGTGTGTGTTTCAGTCACGGTGTACCGCTGTGAGGAGATGGCTAAGCAGTGCGGATTCTGCCTTACCCTCGACCAGCGCTACCGCTGCGGTTGGTGCGGAGGAGCCTGCACCATCGCCGAGATGTGCGGCACCGGGGAGTGGCTCAGCAACGGTGCCATCTGTCCGAACCCAACCATCGAGAAGGTGAGAGTCTGTGCCGACAAGTTGACTGCGACCTCGCGTTGACCTTGACATTTGTCTGTGATGTTGCATTGACTGACATCTCGTTTACTGTGACGTGGCATTGACTGATGTATTGTTGACTTTGACCTTGCATTGACCATGACGTTGAGTCGTCTGTGATGTTACATTGACAGAGATGACAACCACTATGATTTATCCGTATTTTATATTTCTTAATTTCCGTAATTTCGATTCCTTTTGCACCACTACGACCAGTTTGTATCAAACTACGAATTTCACTGTGATTGAAAAAAAAAATTTTTAATCATTTTTTGTCAATTTATTGTCGTTATTGACTCTCAGAATGCAGGAAATTGCATCTCAGAATCAAATTTTTTTTTTGCCGGACCCCCCCTAGCAAACTCGGGTCACTACATGACCCTCAAACTACTAATTTGATGGCCAGAAACTACAGATTGCTTCAAATATGTGTTGGCATCTCTGCATTGACTGTGACATCTAGTTTACTGTGATGTGGCATTGACTGATGTATTGTTGACTGTGATGTCACGTTGACTGTTAAGTTGCGTTAACTGTGATGTATCGTTGACCTTGCTCTGGCATTGACCGTGCCGTTGCGTTACCTGTGACGTCTCGTTGTCTGTGACGTTGCGTTGACCGTGACGTCGTGTGGTTCACGACGTTGCGTTGACCGGTGGCTGCGTCTCGTGTTCTTGTAGTTTTCGCCGCGTATGGGTCCGTACGAAGGCGGCACGAACATCACGATCAGCGGCTATAACCTCGGACTCAACTACGACGACATCAAGAGCGGCGTCACTGTCGCCGGACAGATCTGCATGCCCTACGAGGAGCTCTACGTCAGAACCAAGCAGTAAGAAACGTCGCCAGTCTATACCGCCATTTTCTTTTACTCCTGTTTGTCCCCCTCCCCAGCGATATGTCGTGTTCGAATTGTCCAGTTTGCAAATAGATGCGATATCTAATGAGTGTAGTGCGAATTTAGAGGGGTAGCGTAGAAAACCTCGTTCAGCCAACTCAGTGGTATTGTTTGTTCTTGCTGTAGTTATAGCCATGATGGTTGAGGTTACACGTGCGCTACTCTGCATACTGCCAGCACTTCCTCATGCGCTGTTTGTTTTACTGCAGGATTGTGTGCAAAGCTGGAGAGAGCTCCAAGGGCAATAAAGGTTATCTGCAGGTGATGGTGCGCGGGGACAGCAGATACATCGGCGTGTCCGACATGGAATTTGCATACGTGGTGAGTACACGTGTTTTAATGAAGTACGACTGCGTGAACTGCGATGTAATAGCCACGTAACATGCAGGACGATGTTTACACTGTAACCTAGTCGAATAGTATTCATTCTTTGTGCTTCGGAAATGATAAATGCTCTTTCTTGTGTCCGTTCAGGATCCAAAGATTAACAAAACGTGGCCAAAAGTTGGACCGAAGAGCGGAGGAACAAAGATCACGATAACGGGCCGGCACATGGATGCAGGGTCACATATCACAGCCTTTATCGTGTGGGATGAGCCTACTGGACAGACACGATCACCCTGTGAAGTGATTAGGTATTGACTTCACAGCACAACTTGTATTAGACAGTACATCTCATTCGGACTCAGCTCAGTGTCATCTCATTCTCATTCGGACCACTACACTACACTACACTACACTACACTACACTACACTACACTACACTACACTACACTACACTACACTACACTACACTACACTACACTGAACTGAACTGAACTGAACTGAACTGCACTGCACTGCACTGCACTGCACTGCACTCCACTGCACTGCACTACTACACTACACTACTACACTACACTACACTACGCTACGCTACGCTACGCTACGCTACACTACGCTACACTACGCTACACTACGCTACGCTACGCTACACTACTGATGCCATGATATCAGGCGTGAGTGTCTGTGCAGGAATTAATTATCACATCCACTTCATTCATGTCACTACTAAGGTGTGTATGTTGCAGGACTAGTCATAAGGAGGTGGACTGCCTGACATCAGCCAGCAGCAAGGCCACCCCTGGCCGCATCGTCATGCGGTTTGACAGCGCCGAGAGACATTCCACGGAGACGTTCACTTATCACGACGATCCCGTCATCCTCGACGTGCTGCCCTCTGGTGGCATTCCTAGGTAACCAGCGTTCACGTTAAGTGTGTTATAGTTGAGCGGTGTTGTGAATATGGAGTGGAGTGGAGATAAGTCAATGTTGATGTAATTATTCGTGTACCTTTCATTACTAATTAACAAGGTATCTGCGATCGTTTGAATTTAAGTGACAATATACACTTCATACACATGTGAAGTTTTCTGCACTTCAACGGTAGAATTTTGCAGTCATCTGGCAACCATTGCTTTCTTTACAGCGGTGGTAATGATATCTATGTCATTGGTCTCAATCTGAACGTGGTCCAAGACCCACAGATGTTTGTGAGTTTGGATGGAAAGGAATTCATTGGGGTGAGTACACACACACACCATCACAGATGTATAAATACATGCACACGCACACTGTTGCGAAATTTCGTGCAATTTCATCGTTCAATTTCATAATTCATTTTCATAGTGCAATTTTATAACCCCATGCAGTTAATTTTCATGACTTGTAGAGGGATTGTGCAAACCGTTTTTTACCAGACTATTGCATATTAGTTTTCCTGTGAGTTCGATCATGACTGGTGATGCCTTACACGTATAATATGTATGTGTGAATGTGTGTGCACCTCATTGCAGCGATGTGACGGACTGAACTCTTCCCTGATGGTGTGTAAATCCCCAATCATCATGTCGACGTCTGTGCCGGGGCCGAACGATCCACCAAGCCTGGTAAGCTTACACCAGCAGTGTAGTTTATAGAGTAGCAATGTAAGTATGGAGGTTACTACAAGCCACCTGGTAGGCTTACATCAGCAGTGTAGCATTAGCCAGCTGCAGGTGTAAGCAATTGCACGTTGCACCCTTACAGACAAATCTCTCTGATGCTTGTCCATTCTTCCGACCAGACTAGTTCTAGGCCAGAATTACTCACCGTCTTGAACTAATGCCTGAAGTAATTATTGCCGATTGGTTTTTGCATAACAATGAGTTTTTCTGCGTTGTTTTCGACAGCTTGATTATGGTTTCAACATGGATAACGTCACGAGACTGCGTAACATACCTAGCCTTCCCAACTTCAGCAAGTTCACTCTCTATCCTGACCCCGTCGTTTACAACTTCACCGAGAAGAACCAAGTGAAGCGATACAAGAGCGACTACCTAGCGATCAGCGTAAGTAACGGATCGCACTGTCATGTCGCACCGGATCGCACTGTCTTGTCGTGACGTCCGGGATGCTTCCCTTTCGGTGACTAGCTTCAGTCGCGGGATGTGTTTTAACCTTGGTCACGTAAATGTTTGCTGCGTAGGCACGGGTATGTGGTCAGTGAGATAAGGTTCTACCGTATTGGGGTTGATAAAATGCATTTTTATAGTGCAAATAAATAATAATAATAATAGTAGTAATAATAATAAATATAATACTACTACTACTACTACTAATAATAATAAATAAATAAAATGCATATCTCCTAAAATAATACATTCGACACCATCCTAAGAACCACTACCTATCCTCTCACGAATCGCACATCACTCGGCGGCATTTCATCCGCGCGTTCTACTAACATGGTTTGCGGGCCGAGAAAACACAAGCTCCACCATGGCACCGCATCTACGACATCTCCCTCCGCCGTCCACAGAACAGCACTAAGAACAACAGAACAAACAAATCGCACAGTTCGCTGACATTTCATCCGCGCGTTCTACTAACATGGTTTGCGGGGAACGTACGCGTCACCCGCCGCGTCACCATACATCAGCAGTGTAGCATTAGCCAGCTGCAGGTGTAAGCAATTGCACGTTGCACCCTTACAGACAAATCTCTCTGATGCTTGTCCATTCTTCCGACCAGACTAGTTCTAGGCCAGAATTACTCACCGTCTTGAACTAATGCCTGAAGTAATTATTGCCGATTGGTTTTTGCATAACAATGAGTTTTTCTGCGTTGTTTTCGACAGCTTGATTATGGTTTCAACATGGATAACGTCACGAGACTGCGTAACATACCTAGCCTTCCCAACTTCAGCAAGTTCACTCTCTATCCTGACCCCGTCGTTTACAACTTCACCGAGAAGAACCAAGTGAAGCGATACAAGAGCGACTACCTAGCGATCAGCGTAAGTAACGGATCGCACTGTCATGTCGCACCGGATCGCACTGTCTTGTCGTGACGTCCGGGATGCTTCCCTTTCGGTGACTAGCTTCAGTCGCGGGATGTGTTTTAACCTTGGTCACGTAAATGTTTGCTGCGTAGGCACGGGTATGTGGTCAGTGAGATAAGGTTCTACCGTATTGGGGTTGATAAAATGCATTTTTATAGTGCAAATAAATAATAATAATAATAGTAGTAATAATAATAAATATAATACTACTACTACTACTACTAATAATAATAAATAAATAAAATGCATATCTCCTAAAATAATACATTCGACACCATCCTAAGAACCACTACCTATCCTCTCACGAATCGCACATCACTCGGCGGCATTTCATCCGCGCGTTCTACTAACATGGTTTGCGGGCCGAGAAAACACAAGCTCCACCATGGCACCGCATCTACGACATCTCCCTCCGCCGTCCACAGAACAGCACTAAGAACAACAGAACAAACAAATCGCACAGTTCGCTGACATTTCATCCGCGCGTTCTACTAACATGGTTTGCGGGGAACGTACGCGTCACCCGCCGCGTCACCGCGTCACCCGCCGCGTCACCCGCCGCGTCCCCGCGTGTCTACGACGTCTCGTCTTTGTCCGTCGCGCCGCAGATACGTAACCTGTGTGAGGTCTGCAGCATGCAAGAGTTCTTTGAGGTTCGCATCGGCTCCGAATTCTGCAACGTGACGTCCGTCGCTCCCAACCTCCTCAACTGCCAGCCGCCGGGAGCTCAGCCCACGAGCCGCGCGGATGGAGCCGACCCCAAGTCACTCCCAGAGGTCACGGTAGGTGGCGCTGCCGCAGCGGGCGCGGAGAACGTTCGCGCGACGCGGGACGTGAATAGATGGCGGGTTGATCTCGTGAACCGTGGGCATCCGGGGTGATCTCTGGATATGTGGTGTTCGTTTGTTCATTAGGGGAAGGGTCATTGTGGCGTGGAGAGACTGAGGGTGTGAATCGCGCGGTGCGAATCATCAGAAGAGCCGCGCGGCACACGTGGCGCCCTCTGTATTAGGGTCCCGCCGCGGCACGTTCTCAGAAACATCGTTAATATTTACGACAATCGTCTAATTCTAAAATGTCACGAATTTTTAATTTAAAAAGAATTTTTTATTAAGTGTCGCGCGCGAGAGCGTCGCTACAGCGTAGGACTCGTTAAGGACGTAATCGTTAACAACTACGCGACAATTATTTACGATGGTTCTGATGGCGGGTTGCTGACGCTCACGCGCACACGTTCCATCGCAGGTCGTCATCGGCAACAGCCGGGAGTTCCTGATTGGCTACCTCCAGTACGAGACGGAGAGCGGACGTCTGCCGCTGTGGGGCATCATCGCGATCGCGGTCGCCGCAGGCATCCTCTTGTTTATCGTCTTCGTGATCCTGATCGCGTACCGCCACCAGAGCAGCAAGAGTGAGCGCGTTCTGAAGAACATGCAGGAACAGATGGACGTTCTAGAACTGAGGGTAGCAGCCGAGTGCAAGGAGGGTGAGTGACGGGTAGGGGGAGATGGGGAAGGAAGGGAGGATGGACGTTCTAGAACTGAGGGTAGCAGCCGAGTGCAAGGAGGGTGAGTGACGGGTAGGGGGAGAGGGGGAAGGAAGGGAGAGAAGAGGGTGAGTATGGGGGAGGAGGAGCGAGAGGAGTGAGGGTGGTAGGAGAGGGAGAGGAGGATGGTGGAAGAATGCAAGGAGGGTGAGAGGAGTCTATACTGTTGTTTTTGGCTATCACTACTATCACTACTATATCACTACTATGAGTTTGGTATATAACTATTATGAAAACTTACTAGCCATTCTATATTTTTACATATGACAATAAAGCAATACCAGTTTGCCCCGAAAGTTATCTCAGTGGATTATTACAGTTGGTACGTATGATTAAAAATTCTTTTCTGACCGCCGATATCTTTGTACAGCTTTTGCAGAGCTTCAGACGGACATGACATTCCTGACGGGAGACATATCCGGCTACGGAATTCCCTTCATGGACTACAAGTACTACTCACTAAAAGTGCTCTTCCCAAACCAGGATGATCATCCAGTGCTGAGAGAACTAGATGTGAGTGCGATTCTCTAGTCTAGAAGCGTCCGTCACCAGATGCTTATTAATGTGAAAGATCCGGTGAGCGGTATTCTGACGTTCATCGTGAGTAAATTCCACGCTGACAGTTCGCAAAACAATCGGTCAATGCCTGATTGCTTGAGATCCGGTGGATGGTGACTGAGCGGAAGGAGGGTGAGCGAGGGGGAGGGGTGAGTAAGGGGGGTGAGCGAGGGGGAGGGGTGAG